TTTTATTAATTATTATTATTTAATTTTAATTTTAATTTAGTTTATTGCAAAGTTATATGAAAAAGATTACATGTTACCAGAGTAATAGAATAAAATATGTACAATAGACTATAGTTAACATAAACATAAATACAATAGATAATAGTAGCTTGCAAATGGTTAGGCAAAATTGCTATTACAAAACCTATCAATAATAAAACCAGAATAAAATAATCCAACGTGAAAAATTTAATGAGATTCTATTTTTAAATTAGCTGATTATACTATCGGATGTCGCTTTTGTGCAAAATAGCATCGCTTTTTTGACAATCTTTTTAATACATTTATTTATTAATCTTTTAAATAAGATTTTTTAAAAATAATTTTTTAAATACCTTTTCAGAAAGTGCTCAATTTTTCTTTTGTGTTATAGAATATAATTTTTTCCTAAGACAGAAATGTAAAAAGTGAAAATTTTTATCGTTGATATTAATTGAACAATCTTACACTTTTCATATTTTCACCATAAACAAAGTATTACATGATCAGTATCTTAGTACTAAAATAGCTTGGTATGACTCAGTACTGAAAGATTTTAATAGTGTCGAGAAATAAACAATCAATATTTTCAAATTTTTCTGTAAGTTGGTATACATATACTATACATACGTTCCAAAAGAAATTTTTAATGAATTGTTATGCTCTTCTGTGCAGTGCACAACTTGTATATTTGTTTGCGACGATTCAGAATAAATAAAACACACAACTCACTTAATCAAAGTCAATTTAATTCTTTGCAGTTATAAGAATTGAATGATCATTTCTCCTTCACGTACGAGTATATCTATACATTTTAATCCCTTCTCTTTGCCTGAATGTTTTTTTTGTTTCAAATTTTAGTCTATCTATTTCTAGTTTTTTTCAAGTGTATATTGTTAGACTTTATAAATATTTGTGATGATTTGAAAATACATAATTTCAAAATCTTTTTAGATTCGCTTTCATTAATATTAAATGATAATTATAAAACAGCAGTATACTGCTGTTTTATCATTATCATTTAATATTACACGCAATGCAAAAACTATCCCTTTAATTATTTTTTATGTTTTCACATTACTATTATTATTTCTATTACACTGAAAAGTAATTTTACAGAAGAAAAAAAGATATATGAACTTATATGGACATATTTCATATAATTATATATGTTTATGAATATTTATGCGTGTATATATGTTTATACATATTCATGCATGAAAAATTTTTTACCGGGTAATGAAACTTTATAATAAATGAATTTTTTGTTTTTCAATTAGTTGTATTATCATTATTAATATATTATCATTTATTTTAATAACATTGCAATTGCCTTTGTAGAAATATAATATTTCCAATCTTTCTGATTACCTAAATATCCTACATTATTTCAAGCAATGACTTGTAAGATGAATATTAAAATTAATAGTAAAATTTTATTTTGCATACTTTTTGAATAATAAATGAATATTAAATGAATAATAAATGAATATGAGGCATTTGAGATAAACGTCCCAGTAACTATCTATATCCGATCATTGGGACGTTTATTTTATAGTGAATTCGATTAGACGCATCAGTATACACTAGTGTAACTGTCGTACATAAATTGACGTAAAAATATGTGTTTATTATAAACTAAATATAAACATAGAAACCGATTAAACTGATGAAATACTCAATATACTTTATTATGCTGTTAGATAAAATATGCATTTTATATAATAATTCGAAGTTGCATTTTACTTTTATACTCAAATTAAATTGATGTATAATAGCTTTAACATGCACTAGTGCGTTCAATCGAATTCGCTAATAAATAAATAACATTGTATCTTTAAGAATTTTGCCATTGAT